CATACCCAGTAGCCCAAGCAAACAGAATTGCCACCAGGCTGCCAGAGATCCAGAAGACTTACAGACAGAAACCTGGGGGCAGGCAGAGGCAGAAACCAAAGCAGTGTCAAGCCCAAAACACTCTACAGACAACTATTACCACTGAGCATCAGCAGCACGGTGGCAGTTAAGAGTGTCTGTGAAGTCCTGCACCATTCTGGACCACATCTATACCTGCGTTACAAAAATGCTGGTAGAAGGGCCAGAAAGGAATCAAGCCCAGTTCTTCTGCAATACTGTGGCATAGTGCAGTCCTTTGCCAACACAACATGGGTACTCCCCAGACGCTGTCAGCATAAAAAGTGCTACGGTGTTCAAAAAAATAAAAAATATGCAAAAACAGGCCAATTCTGCCATGAACGTAGATTTTGCCATCCTTTCAGAGGGAGTAAAAAATCAGCAGTTCCCCTGTTTTCACAGAGACAAAATAAGGTACTAAATTTCTTCATAGGACAAAACCACTCTTTGCACAGACAGATCTCTTGATAGCTCCTCTACAGCAAACTGGAATAAAAGCTCCCACACCTCATTCCTCAAATTATTGCCCCACTCTCAAGTCACAAACTCAGATCCACTCAGAAGCAAGTCCCCAGAAGTCCTCGCTTCTTTTGTCATGCTCCAGCTACTGCAGAGGCTCTAAATCAAAGGCTCACTGTTTACCTTCCCATGAGACAAAACCAAAAGCAATTGCTGCAAAGCTCCTGTACAAAGCAAATCCCAGTCTAATATCACATGGCCATGCTGCCTCCCCTCAGAGGTAACTCCATTGCAGCTGTCTCAGTTTCTCCACAACCTCTTAGCCAACAAAAAGACAATTTCTACTTTGCACATTCCTTCACTGCAACTAGCATCTCTAAACATTGCAGGGAAAGCTCTCTCCCTTTTTCTGCTGTTCCACAGACCTTCACTTTCCAAGCAAAATCCAAAGACATCTGTCATCTGCTTATGTATCTGCTCCCTCCTCAGTGTGCTCTGCTCTACATCTTGCTATTCACAATATTCTTCCTTTCTGTGCAAAACCAGAATGCCAACATCCCCTTCCGCAACATAGGAAAAAGGTGATATCTTACACATCAGGCTTTCAAATTTAACTAAAACTCCAGCCTAATACCCTGGCTCTTCTCATTTATATGCTGGAAAGAGAGTGTAACTAATAACTTGGAGAGGGTGGAGGGCACCTGGAGAGCAGAAGATATAAATGGACACTGCATTAAACCACTTCTTGGTGCAGGAGTGTAAAGACAGCTTGGTGATACAAAGTTCTCCATTGCAGCTTGGTCCCTCCTAGACAGATGAGGTTAGATTTGACAAGGACAGAGACACTTAGAGCTCGCAGGTGTGAGGATGTGGCTGAATGCTAACAGAGCCAAGATTTCAGCATGATTTCATCCTTCAGTTACAGTTAGGGGATTTGCTCTTGGATGCTGTTACAGTATTTCAGACCAAGCCCTCAAAAACATGGGAGTTGGAAGGGAACATCCATAGCAACTATCACTAGCATGCCGGGGTAACGAGTGCTAGAGTCAGCGATTTGAGCCCACTGAAGACTTGAGTAATGTGGACAACAGAATTATTACTCCCCAGCCCTGGAGAAACATCTGCACAGCAGATGCCACATCAGCTTCTAGGTGTGAGGACATTTGCATATGTGTAGCAAAGAGTCTAGAATGGCTGCAATCCATTTTGCTGTGGAAAAAAAAGTGCTTGCTTTGCTTTTCACAACAGAGACCTGCACACGGGTGACTAGCATAAAGGCATCCTCTGTAAACTGAAGAGGTCTAGTTTTTTGTTGCTTTTGTTATATCTACCAAAAGAAAATGCTGAATGTGACCATACTTCCTTACAGACAGGGCGCTTGTCCTTGTTTCCAGGGAACAAGGCAGCAAAGCCTTACCTCCAAAAATGTTTTTGGTCATGGGACACCTATGTAGCCAGTGTTAAGAGATTAGAAGACCTTTTTCCTCCTATTTAGTACAAAGATCACATCTGGAGGTCATAAGCAACTAGCCTCTTACCAGCTAACTAGCACTAAGCTCAAAGACAAGTTTTCTATCCCAGGTTTTGAAGGACCCACTGACAAATTGATCCATCTTTTCTTCCTTTTCTCCCAGACATGTCCTCCTCCTCGTCTGCCACTGCAGGGACCTGCTGCTCCTCTTAAACTGTTTTCAGGCTGAGAACTGCCTTTTAGGAACTGTGAAATAAGAAAAGAACAAGTAACTAAGAACAGCTGAAGTGTGTTCGCATGGTAATCCACCTCATCCACCCATCCCATCTCACAAGAGCAGCTAAAGAAATCCTGCTGCATGCCCATGCCTTTGATTAAGATGGGAAGATGTAGATGTACCTGCATTAGAAGTCGATGGCCACAATCACTTGTGCTCAGCAGTTTTGGAAAGCAGCTAAGCTGTTTCTTTCTGCCAGCTTTTAAATGAAGAACCATGGTTATACCTAGACATTATCACAAAACTGTGGAGTCAGAAGATGCTTAACAAAAATGACTCAACTGCAGCAAAGAAACAGACTGTTCAAGACAGCTGAGGCCCATACATTTGTAATGAAGGGGTGACGTTTCTAATCCTGTTCGCATAAAGTAAAATCTCCATGAGAAAAGAAAACAGTCCTTCCTTTGATAGGCCTCTCCTCTACACCTCACCAACACCTTCTGCCACCTCCTATCCCCTGCTGCTACTACTGCTTGTAACCATTGAGGGCTCTGATTATATGTTGTCATGCTTATGAGACAGAAATCCCTGCAAATGAAGTCACTTCCCTGCAATTCAAAAAGGAAAATTAACTGCAAGTCAAGCTAGATTACAGTGTTACTCTAGAGAGCAAATCAGTTGGTTTTGAAAGGAGGAACATTTACAGAGCCATCAAGAAATTCTGCAGCTACCATCACTACCACTTAAAATGAAGACCATAGGCAAAACAGCAGCAAAACTGTAAACTGAATTTTGCTCTGTATAATGAAAGTAAAGGATGATAGAAGCAGACCTTAAAATCAAGGAGATCCTTTCTCTAGAGGCACAGTTTTGTTATGTCTGTGCCTTTTAAAGACCACTTCATTGCTAAACGGCAGTCCCACACTCCAACAGATACTCAATCAATTTAGCTGTTGTTATATAAACAAATTTACCTATTAAATCAACCCACTTTGGCACAAGGCCATAATGAGCAGTTACAAAAACCACCCAAGCTGGATCCCCAGTGCCATGAGCTACTCTTAAGGGGAACAGATTTATACTAATTAATTAATTTTATCTTCTGCACAATCAGAGCATATGCTCTGATCGATCCTATGCGTATAATGGGCAATTCTCCAAATATACCTGCTAGGGTCTGTAACTGTAAGGAGGAAGAAAATCACAGGACTTTGCCATAACAGGATTTCTGAAACACAACATGAGCTCAACTGCTGATTCTGAGTGCATAAGGAGTTATCAAGATCACCAGGAGCATCCCCAGTGTGGTGTTGCTGTACAGACACTCATGGGCAGAGCTTTTAAAAATGAAAAACCACTTCACTAGGATTTTGGCACTGGTAATGTCATCATGGCGAATCAAATCTCTTAAAAATGTTCCTGCTGGCTGCTATCGTGCCCAGCCAATACAGGTACCATCACTCCATGTAATTGACTAACTCCCTTCATCTCTCCCGCCCTCCCCAAAATGAAATGCTGTCAATTCAGTCAGGTACCCAGGTGAGCCCAGTTCCCACTGCAGTGCAAAAGTTCAATCGCATTTGTCCTGCGCTCCCAAATTTTCACCCTTGAGGTTGTATGCAAGGAATAAAAGCTTGTACAGTTTGTTGGCGAACACCAGCCTCACCACTACCACAGAAAAGATCCCCCTGCCTTCCCCTCCTCAAAAGTCAGGTTACTAAAATTTCAGAGAAAAGACCCATTTGTTCTTAAAAGGTCCATGTACTTGATTTCATGGCCATGATCTTCCTCTGCCTCCCACATGAGTATACTCTGATGTGGAAAAAAAAGGAGCATAGAAAGCTTGCTAAATCAAAGTGCAGACATATACCTGAATTTCCACCAATAGCACAGCTGTCACACAGTGATGTCCCTGTTAACTAACCCTCTTTTCAAACTGCTCTTGTCAAATGGGAAGCAATATGACTTAGCAGTTTGCAAGAGGTATCACAGCGGTTTTCCTATGGGCCAGAGCAAGCAAGCAAACAGCTGTCACAGCTCAAATGATGCATGAGAAGGGGTTAAGCACAGGATGCTGATTATTTGCTTGAACTTTAATCCAGTCCTGTCTCATACAAATTTGAAGCTATAAATTGCACTCCAGTGTTTGGGAGACAGCAAACAAGCTTATGCCTGAACCTACCCCAATTTGCTTACCTAAGGAATGGAAGACAGATGATTGGAAAATATAGGTCTTCCACATATTTTGGCACAGACACTAGAACCCTTCACAGTGTTTCCTGGGAGGAGAACGCAACACAAGCCTGTTTGCACGCCTCAGGTCTGCAGAGCTAACACAGACTTGGTCCCAGAGTCATAAGCATGTGAGGAATTCTGATCTAGCTTTTGACTGAGCTGCCAGGATAGTGGTTAGGTGCCTATATAAAGCTGGATTTGGGCTCAGTTAAAACTCACACCTTCCGACCCGTTGCAAGACTCTTCATCCATAGCTATTGCACTCCAGAGAAAAAGGAATGAAGTGCTTTATTAGTTTGAATGGATCAAAAATTAGCTACAAGCATTACAGAAAATTACAACCAACCAAGCAACCAGCGAGCAATCCAGAACACAGATGGAATAATCATCCTTTAATGGCATCATTATGAGATGAACCTGGATACAGTTAAGCTAGGTGTGCAAGACAGCACTCCTAATGAATCCTAACACACCAGAATGCTCTCCAGTGCCAGCTGCACACGTTTAGCACCTTACAAGTTCATCCAATGGACTTCTAGCATTAAAACAGAAACTGAGGTTGGAGAAAACTGCCACTTTGTTACACAGTTGATTTTGCTCAAAAGGCAAAGGAAGTTGCATCAGGTCCCTTCTTCACGTGCTGGATCTTTGAATCTTGATTCTTCTTATTTTCCATTCTACTTTGAAAAAAAGGTGGGGAGGAAGAAATATCAGCGTTTGTCTCATACTTAACAGAAGTAACCAACCACCCATAGCCTAGGAAAAAACATATGCAACTACAGCATCAGATTCATGGTCTAGGGATTCTGTAAGCAGATGACTACATATGCAGAATATTTAACACATGCAAAAATGTGTATATATGAAGCAGACTGCTATAAAATTAGCAACAGTGAAATAATTAATGCAGGAGATACAAATCAACACATGCCAGAAAGTCTCTAAATCAGAGAAGGTCAAGGTTATAAGCTGATGCATGGTCTTCTGACAAATGCATTTGAATTAAGAGCTACAATATTCACAGCAAATTTGAGCTGTGTTTTTCTGAGAGAACTTGCGACTGCCTCTACAGCCATCTGTAGCCTACGCTGTATTTTCATCGAGCTGGTCACCATGGCAACCTGAAATTTTCCTATAAGACAATTTTGTTAATAAAGTTTCATGGATAGATTTGTGCCAGAAAGGCAGGTCTACACATGGGGCAGTGACAGAAACAGTAGCACCTCGAGAGGTGCCATTTAGCTTGCTTGGGGAACACCAGGAGTCCTGCCCAGCTCCTGAGGATGAGGGCTGCAGGCCAAAGAACTGGAACCAGTTGCTAAATTCAGCTTTTGGCAGCAAGTGATCCTTTGTATTAGCAATCTCCCATCCAGATGGGAAGTATCCTACTGCCCAAAGAAACAGGCAGAGCCATTACATTTGTGCAGAAGTGCAGCCAGCAAGTTGAGGGAAGGGGTTCTTCCCCACTGCTTGGCACTTGTGAGACCACATCTGCAATCTTGTGCCCTGTTTTATTGGCTCCCCGGGAAAAGACAAGCACCAAGTGGAGCAAGTCCAGCAGAAGCCACCAGAATGATTAGGGCTCTGGAGCAGAGAGCTGGATTTGCCTGGAGATGAGAAGGGGCAGATCTCTCTGATGGGAGAACATAAGGAAGATGGACCCAGACTCTTCTCATAGGTGCACTGGGAAAGGATGAAAGGCACAAGTTCAAAGGTGGAAGTTCTAGCCTAATATAAGGAAAAATCTTATCCCTGAGAGTGCTCAAACAAGCAGAAGCCAAGAGAGGTGTAGGATCTTTATCCTGGGATATTCAAACCTCAGATACAGGATCTAACTGGCCATGCTTCGAGCAAGAGCTGGTGCAGAGGTTTTCAAAGATCCCTTTCCCACCAGTTCTCTGACAAGATCATTCCTAGTGCTTCCAAAACACTGCATGGAACAATGGGCTGACAGCTACGAGAGTCCTTTCGAGCTCTCCACTGAAGTGCTATTGGTTTTCCTCAGCAATAAAGTTAAGGGGGTCTTAAAATAACATAGCACAGTCTAAAGAACTATCCAAGTCCTGCATCTTCAAGAAGCAGAAGCAATTTCCTCGGTGCAGCAGTGGGCTGGATCCTTCAAAATAAATCTAGAGGAAGTGGCCAAAGGAGAAGACAAAAATCACTGCCACTCAGAATAGCAGCAGAGCAGCCCTCCTCTCTCACAGTAATAGCTCCACTTCACCCCTACGGCACGATCTGACCTGAACGTCAGGGTAGGTCCTCACTGAGTCCAAATAAAGGTCAGCCCTTCACTTCTGTGCACACCAGAGCCTGCTGTCCTCCCTGCTGCAGTGTATCGTAGGTGCCAGGGGATGCCCAGAACTGAGCTACCACAAACTCCAAGGAAAGAGAATATAATGGTGTCCTGTCATTTCCTCCCCAGTGCTTAAGATAGATAAATTGCTCTGCTCTCCCTCTCAAAGCTGATCCGGATATGGAGCTCATGCATTATGCAACAGATCCCATTCTGCAGGGATTTTCCTTCTGAGGCTTCTCTTTCCCCCCGCTCCCTAGAAAGCTGTAAGCTACGTTGAGAGAATCGGAGACAGTCGGGTGGGCTAACGGAGAGGTGGGGTAGGAGCAGCAGGAGAGGAGGAGGGAGTCTGATGCACAGAGCCATGGGAATATAAATGCAGGACTAAACTCCCAAAGGCAGCAGCTTCTTAATGAAGTCACCCAGGATAAAAGCTAAGCTTTCCGTGCCCCAGGAAGGCAATGTGCCCTGCTCTGTTATTACTTTTCTGGAATAGGAACACACACAAACATCCAATCTGCTCTGAAATTTGGATCCTGGATTTCTCGAGTGTGAGCAGAACAGCCCCAATCCTACCATTATTCTTTCAGTGAAAATCCACAACATTCAAGGATGCTAGGCTGTTTGCTTCAAGCAATTTACTACGCTGCCAGGATGCCAATCAGGATGTAACAAGTGCCCTAACCCCATTACAGCTGCCAGTGAGCTATGCCAGGTAAGCTCATTCAGAGAGCAGTTTCAAAAAAAATGTAGAAGCCTTGATGAGGAAATCACAACCTGTTGGCTTTATACAAAAGAAACCTGATCCTCTGTTAGAAAACACTTTCCCTGTGTGATTAATGGCACTAAGAAAATTAGTAATTGCAACCTACATGTATATTGCAAGCAGAGACAGGAGTCGTCTTAATTTTCCTCTTCAAGGATATGAAGCAATGCTGTTGACTCCAGACAGAAATAAGTCATAGGCTGAGCCCCCCCTCTGCAAAGGAGACTTGCCTTTGGCAGTTGATTTTGAAAGAGCAGAGCATTGGGGACCTTTTCCCTTGGCTTTCTGAGCTTCAAGATGCTGGGTACATTTGAGCCTCTTTTTTTTTTTTAAAAAAAAAGGCAAAAAAACCTTTCTTTGCAATTCAGAGGCACAGATACCCTTAAGCTGGTTTCATCTTAATGGAACCTAAAATTCCACAGAAAATCTCACATACCTGAGCGCAAGCAGAAAGCCTTTAATCTGCTCTGTGATACACAGCATCCTTTGTGATACACAGCATCCTTTTCCTGAGCAGGAATCCCTCCTCTCCAAGGGTTTCAGCGAGGGATTAAGTGCATTGCTAACATGCCCTTTGCTGACACTGGCAGCTAACACAGCTCTAGCAAGGCCGGCATGGATCCTACAGGCCAGGCTAACTAATGACCTTGCACTTGTTGCAGGCTAAGGTTGTTAAGCAGCGATCAGCTGTTGTACAGCAGCTGGCCCCCCGCTGCTACTCGCTCACGTGCCCAAGGTATTTGGTGGAAAGGCCAGTCCATGGCCTGACATGTGGTTTGTACAATCTCCCCCATTCCAGAGGTGCATTAGGAAAGAAATCCACAAAATCTGATTAGGATTTGTCACTGAAGCAAGCTCATTAATCACTGATGTGGGTCTTTCACAATGCATTTTGCTGGCTTCTGCAGGCATCCACAGATCCACTGGGTCTGAAGACTCCAGACTTGACAAAGTTTTGCTTCATATAAGAATTGCACTTTTTTTTTTCTCTCTTGAATATTTAGCACATTTTAATAAATCAAAAAAGAGCCATAATGGACCAGTGAGATCATTCAGACTAGCTTCTTGCATAGAGCAAGGCCAGGATTCCTCTGAAATAATTTCTGTGGCTGAAGGGAAATATCAGGTTCAGAAATGCAAAATCCAGCACCAAAAATTCTTTTAACCACTTGCCTCAGTAATTTTTGCAGCAGTCAATTTCCCACACTGTTCAATAAAAAAGAATCACACTTTGTTTCTCACCTGAATTTGTCTAGCTTTGCCTGTCAACACCAGCTTCTTTAAGAGATAAAAGTCTCCTATTAAAATGTTGCTTCCACAACCTCCTCCAGAATCTTCTTTCAGGTACACTAAGCCAGCTGAATTACTGCCATCTCAAAACACAGCATGTGTTTCCTATGCTTCATCGTACTCTGTCATCACAGAATTAATTGTAATAACGCCAACCACAATCATGCAGGTGCCAAAACGGAGGAAAATAAATTTAAAAAATAAAAGAAAAAAACATGACTTTCCCTGGCCTCAAACACATTTAATAATTTGGATGCTCATTGTTCGAAATGAAGCTCACAGATGAAATCCTCAGACTTTGGATACGAGTGAAATTGAGAAGCAAACACAGCTCCAGACTGTGCAGCTAATAATATTCTGTTGATCAACAAAAATCAACAAAAGGAGGAGACAAGGACTTTTGATGGGCTTTGAACATCTTCAATCTCCTGATGCATCTGCCTCTGAAACACAATTGGGCCAAAACCAGGCTCTCTGGTCCTTGCAACCTACCTTCAAGAGTGAGCAGGAAGTATTAAAACTGGAACTGCATAATGTCTCAAAAACTGCAAGTTTCTCACCACTTTTTTTCTGTTCTCTTTCAAGAAGGTTTTACATCTTGCTTCTGGTTTAGAGGTTTGCCAGGCACTAGGTCCAGGAACACAAACCATTTGTGACTGCTGCTTTAGTAGGATGACTCCTCTGGAGGATCAAAGAACTAATGTAAGAGATCTAGCATTTTTGAGACAGAAGGAAAAGAAAGGCAGCAATTTAAAGAGTATGGACCTCCTTGTCCACAACTTTTCTAGAAGATGGCTAAAGATGTTTCAACACAAATTCACTGAGCCAGATGGGGAAAGTTTGGTTAACAGAAGCCAAAGGTCAGGCATTTACAAAATTTCTCCCACTCTTCTCTGAAACAGCAAACCAAGAGTACGTTACCGTTCGGTAAGCCTCAGCCTTTCCACACTAACTCCTCAGAATAAAACTACCCAAAAAGGACACAATTCACACTAAAATGCCACTTCAATACACTCTTGGAAGTTGAAAGACATTTAGAAAAGTCAGAAATCCCTGTCAGACAAAAAGGCACAAATTAAAGCTGCACTTCACCTTGTACTGGCTTATGGATAAACTAAAATAGCATATGGATTTAACAAAAAAAAATTTACAAGATCAAATAGAAGTCTGACTTAACAGAATTACTAGGTTTTTCCTTTCATATCTAGCTTCTAGGAAAGTGGGGGGGGATATCTCCTTCAGCAGATATATGTTTATCAGGAAGGTACTTATGAGTAACAACTGTGTTTTTGGTGAGTCATTGGTGCAATCTGCATCTAAAACTGTCTTGTTTCCAATATGGAGAGACTGAATTGAGTGCTACGTAGATGCAGCCTTCAGTTCTGGGCCTTGCCACGGGGATCGAGACCTGCTGTGGGTAGGCAGTGAGTGTGGAAGCCCTTTCTTCAGCAAAGACGTAGCACTACGAACTTTCCTCTTCCTTTCCCAAATATTTTTAAATTGGTTAACATGCTAAAGAACCATTTCCATTTGGTGTTGCTAGAACTCTTAAAAATACCTTCCTTTAACTCTGTAATACAGCAAGTAAAATATCAGTAGCAATTACAGCTACTCCCACAGAGATCCTCAGAAGTAGGTCAGCAAAGGGGGTACGTGCAGCACAGACCTTGGCAGATCCAATGCATCATGACTTTTTGTCACTATTGTTCCCATTATCTGGGCTCCAAACATTACCATCACAGGTTCTCTGCAACAAAAGCTGCCCTGGGTAAATTGCTTCTTTGTTCTGTCAGACACATTACTACAGCATTTATTTTTTGTTTGCTGGACCATTGGGCCTCAGAGCCCCATTGCATTAGATTCTGCACAGACTTTGCCATTCCTTCAAGTGGGAAAACGATGCATAAGTAGACCCTACAAGCTGTGGGTGAGAGAACTGGCAGAATGGACCACAATATCTCAGAGTCTCTGCCGATACACTGCAGAAGGGCATGGTTCAGATCCCATAGGCAAGTGCTACATCCCTGCTAAGAGCAACCTGCTTGAGAAAGTTACAGTGCATCCCTGAAACATCAGTACTTACAGAAATATATCTCTGTAAATCCAGACAAATGGGGACAGAAAGGCACAACTGTAGCTAAGGCTTAATCCTTAAGCACATTGATTTTGTTGGCCACTGTTTTCACACTACCTGTATGCCAGGAGACTGGTGTTTATATGAGCACGTGGGACAAACTGCTCGAGAACAAGCTCTGCAGATGGATGTCTTCTTCAAAGAGAAACAGGTATAGGACAGAGAGGCAGCAAAACCCTTTTATGCTGCCTTGACCACCCACTGAAGCCTTCTGCAAGTCCTCCCTTAGGCACCAGAGACACAGAAACATAAATCCTGCCTCCAGACTAGCGATGGAACCCAAATCTGTGATGGTTGACAAATATGGAATAGGGCAAACTCCCACAACTATGTCACAGTAATAGGAGCTTTCATTTCCTAAGCTGAGACCTTAGCAGATATTTGAACCTGAGAGGGTCTTAAGCCCCATATATCACTCCTGCATATTTACTTCATCTCACAGGGGGAGGAAAAAAAAAAGAAAAAAAGGGCAACTTTTGAACCATTCTTTGCACTATATAAAATGGGAGAACTGAGGGAGCAGAATTATAATCCCTCAGCTCATGCACCAGTTGACTTGACCATATGCTTTAGTTCAGGTTACATTCCAGGCAGAACAAGGCAGCTTATCAAAGTGCTACCTCGATTTGTCCTTTGAGTTACAAGAACTGCATGGGTTGCCTCACATTTCAGCAACATTTGGCAAGTGACCAACTGATAGTGCTATTTGTCTTGCTCCCATGCCACCGCATTTCCCCATAAGCAAGTCCTACAAATGCCTAGGACAAAATGGCTTTAACATGCTTGCAGCCAAGAAGCACATTCTCCCAAGAGATCCTTTATCCTGAGCAGCTACATTCCTGCTCTCCCCAAAAACCTGCAGCATTAACCTGCCTGAAATCTATCCTTTCAAATGTACTTACCCAGATCATGTTACTCAATCTTGTCAGAGCTGACATAGCTGCGTTTACGCCAGTTTCCATAGCTATTACTACCTCTTCTTGAAGGGAAGGTTTCAGGAGCAAAGAGATCTTTTAAGAAAAGAGAGACATGCATGGGTGTTACATGCTGCCAGATCAGTGTTCATTCAGCATTCTGTGTCAGAAGGACAACTGCAAGGATGCACACAAATACCAACCAGCACAAGCCTGGCAAAACAGCAAATGGCCACACAGAGCACACCAACCTCAGCACTGCCCCATACTGCAGCCTAACGTTCTCACTACTTTCTTAAGGAGATGTCCTCATGAACAGGGAAAGGATGCTAGGTGTAATCTGAGCCTGCTGGTCTCCCCTATTTCCTGCTTCCTCAAAATGATGACTTGTTCACATTGAAAAGGCCAACGCACACATGCCTGGGGAGCCCAGCATAGCAGAAATCTCTTACCTTCAGAGAGACTGCTGCCTCGCGTGGTGGGGTTCATTATCTGTGCATGCATCATCTGTAAATTAAGAGAGACTTCTTTAAGAAGCACTTAACTTCAGGTCAACATGTTGGGTACCCAATACCCTGCCTGACCTGACTGCAGTGCAGATACAGCCAGGCAGCGCAAAAAGCAGAGTCAGTCTGTTGGGGTCACACAGAGCATCTTCTTGACCCCAAATGACTCTCTTAAAGCTATCTGTATTCTTCCTCTGTAGGTCTCTATCCCCGTAATATAATACCAGCCTCAGTTGGTCATGGATATGACAGGAATCATGAGCACTACTGAATTTACACCAACATCATTCACAGTGGGCCAGACTGGGATCCTTTGAACCAAGTTAAAATCTCTAGAGCAAGAGCTGTTTTGCACCTGCTGCAGCCCTTTGCAGAAAGAAATACTTTCTCTTTCATGTGCAATAATTCCCTTTGGCATTTATTCCCCATTAACATTCTAGCAAATATATTCCCTAACAGGAATATTGGCAGGAATACTGAATTTTAAGTGATGGTTAAAGCAGACTTGCAGAAAGAACACTGCTTGTAAAAGCAAGTGTTTATACTGAGTGTCCAATTAAAAAAGAGTTATGCTTAACGCACAGAGGACAAACCGAACATCCAAGACTACTGCACATATTTCAGTACTTCACACACAGTCTTCCTGCTCTGTAAATCAAGAATTCCTGTGGTGCATTCACTAGCTAGCTCTGAATAGAGGCACAGAACAAGAAAATCACAAGCTAATTTGGCAATTGAAACCAAGAGGTGACACCGAACTCTATTTGCTTCAAGTTATTCATTTGGCTGCTTGCAGTTCCCAAAAATAAAAGCTGTCCTTATCCTCTGGCACTTTGCCTTGGAACTAGCTTCATTCTCCAAGCAATGCTCAAGCATAACACCCACCATTGATTTGTAAGTGCAGGCACCCAATTTTCTATTAGCTCATGGAAAGGTGCACACTGGAATGATTTGAAAACAGCTAGCAGGAACTCACAAACTGGGACCAGCATTTACTCATGCCTTAGAAAACAAAGACGACAAGTCAAAAACAAAACCACGTGGAACAAATCCCAGCAGAGCAAGCCTTGCTCAGTTATACTATGATTAAATGCTCAGTTGAGGGCTGGATTTAATAACAGAGTCACAGTCATCAGATGTGTCTATAAAGATGCGCCTGTCACTGTTCTCCAGATGCAGGCACACAATATCTTTTAATTAAGAAAAAACATCAAGGTTGGTAGATCTACCAAACTATTGGAATTCACACTCTCCTAAGGCAGCCATCAAACAAGGTCAAACCTTGCAACTGATGAGAAATACATGACAAGAGACAGCACAGACTTCTAACCACATATAGTTTTCTCTTCAAGACCTCCAATGGCTACTAAAAGAAATGGCAGGAGCTTCTGCAGCACAGGACAAGGTTACCAGATAAATCCATTAAGGAGAGAAAAAGGATACTATCAGAGAAGCCCAGCTGAGACGGAGAGCCCTCTAGCAACATGGCAGCGCACAGAAAAGATACTCCAACTTTGAAGTGACCACTGTATTTGGAACTGGGGCCTAGTGATTAATCACGAACAAATTCCATGCCCACAACACCTCAGTCTCTCCACAGACAAAATGGAAACATTAAGTAAAAGGAGAAAAAAAATCCTTGTATTGGCACTCATGGTTTCAACATGTGTGATCCCAGGCAGTTACATATCCTGCCTTCACACATACTTACCCAACCACTCTTTATTCTCCCAAACTGCAAAAACAGGTTGTCTCCTTCCTTACCTCCTCACTGCTTATTGATTCTGAGCTGAACATATCCTGATGGCACTGGACAACCATGTTTGTGATCTGTTCTTCCGAGACTATCACGACACTTCTGCAGAAAGCAGTTGGCTGTAACAGATAAAAACAGGACAAATTTGATGGAGCAAGAGTACAATGCAATCTCCCTCCTAGAGCTTCATGGAGGGGGAAAACATCCGTACAGGGATTTATGAATCATTTTCCAAAAGGAAAAGCTCAAGGCTACACCTCCAACCTAATTCCTGGAGCAGCCTGAGGCCAGAACAGTGTACTTGGGTTTCATACAACTCCACACTACAATAGCCACAAGTTATTGCTCTACTGTTGCATGTTAACTGCATGAAGCTGGAGCGTGCTATAGATGAAAAATTTCCAAATCCTTTCCATGCCTCTGGCTTTACCAGACATGAACAGAAGAGTCGTAAAGGGTTATGCTGATGGCAGCTTCCACTCCAGAAGCAAAACTCTCTTTAAAAGAAGATGCCTTCATGGCTGGGTGAAAGCTGGAGCTAAACTTGCATGCAAATTTAGAAAATTGATAACCTTACACGGTTATTCATATCCCTTTGCGTTAACAGGAAAGGAGTGATTCTTCCCAAATACTCTCTGTCCATATGCTCCATCTATATTAATAGTTGTAACATGCACAAAGTTCAGGCCTTCACACAATATATCAGGTATATCTGATTAGGTGCCCCTGGTTTGGGAGGTTCTGTGGGATGGTGTCTCTTCAGTGCCATCCCAAAATCCTGCTTTTTCCTTAGACTCTCTGCCCAGGAACGACAGATCAGTTTGACTGGCATTCACAGTAGATGTCCTTCTATGTGTGTTTTGCATCTTGAGCTCATGCAGGACTCCTTACCACTCCCTCTGAGGGTGTCCCACACGTCACTCTCCATTAATTGCCAATTCTGCACTTGTACTGGCTTCTTACTCCTTATCTGGATGGATGATAGACGAAAGCAGGTCAAACCTCAGTTTTCTCCCTCGCTTCTCTTGGAAAAAAACCATACCCTCTTCCCAGGAGTTGGTTCCAAAGACAGACATTTGCACTACATTTTGCTTCGAGACACACATGCTTTCTTTTTAGCTCTAATATTCACTCCCATACTCTTCACAGGGCAGTCAGATATGTTTCCAAAGAACCACCCCCTGCCATGTAACACTTGCTCCATACTGCAGGTTGTATTTGTTTTGGCTTGTTTGGCTTTTCAGGAGGTCTGTCACTCATCAGACCATGTTTCAACATGCTGTATGAACAGCTAGTACCATGGGATGTTTTCTGTACCCTTCCACTCCCCCCATCCAAGGACACAAAAGCACTTACCACAAAAGGCCCTATTTTGAAGTCACATGTGAATGGGTCTTTCCCTGAAATTTTGGTGCATACAGTTTCACGGATATTGAACTGTATCACTAGCTTGTAATCATTGCTGTTCCACATGTCAACCTGGTAAAAAGATCAACAAAATATATAATTAGTGCCTGTTAGTCTTCCGTGTCTGCTACATGGCAATCTTAATTCTTTATCAAGCAGAGCCAAGAATTTAGAGCAGATTACTACAGTGTGAGAAAGGGTGTTTTCTTATGCATGTTTTTAAGAAAAGGGTCAATTCTGTTGTTTTGAACAGATTTGATAACAAGAACATAGCACAGCTTTCCGCAGGTGCTTCAGATGAAACCCCGCAGTCCTCTGCAGAGCCTCAAGTAGGTTTCCAAGACTGCTGCCACCAAGACAACAGCAAAGCAACACTCCAGATGCTCCCATCTTTTTGTGAAAAGCCGGGCGATAACAGCTCTGCTTCAGCTATCTAGACTGCTGGGAAGTATATTGTAAACACATGACTTAGAAGTAAATCAGAAGATTGCAAACAATTGAATTAACACAGCTTGAAGAGAGACTCCTTGTTAGTTCCAGGACCTCAGCAGGACATGTGCATGACACACTGCAAACTTTAGAGCATCTGGCTGCTTTTGTTGAAACATTAAGATGATCTTTTCTTATCCTCACAGTCTAACCAGGTTTTGCTTGGTAAGGAAGACTCAAAACCACTGCTTTCAAACACAAGATTTTCCAGAGTAGATCTATTCAAATGTCATTTTGCCATTCATCCTTGCAGAGGATTTGATACATCCTACCTAACAGAAACACAGTGATTTCTCAGGTTGTTGAGGAACACAGGCATGCCAGCTTATATTATGAAGTTAACTTCGGGAATCCAATATAATTTTTAGTAACATATGTTAGAACAGTTAAAGGTTTCCTGATTGTACCGGTGTTTAGAGACAGGTGAAGTAAATACAGATTTAAGGCAGACTACTATGTTGGTAGTGGGATCTAATTAGCACTGCAAACATTCAGCTGAGCCTGTCTGAGGGCCCCAGTCTCCCTGTGCCCCAGACAGAAAGCAGTTAGATGGAGGTATTTGAAAGTGCCAGCTCTTTTTTGAGTAAAGTTTGGAATGAACTCCTATGAGACGTCCCTCACAAATTTCTCCTTTGGAAGTGCAAAATTTGAACTCCTAACATTAATATTAAAAAAAAAAAATACACAAGGAGCATCCAGATTCCAGCTATAGCTTTAGAAATAAATTTTCCAAAGAAAAGCAAATTTCAGGTAAAGTATCTGAATTGTCTGCAGACTTACAGTTCTAACGTGGCTCCTGACAACACCATACAAGTTTGGCCCCCGGGACTGAGAATTGATTCTTGCAATGGAAGCATTGAGAGCCTCTTCTGTGACAGGCAGTTCATAGTCATACACTGGAAATGCTGAGACAGACATACGATTCCATTAAAAGTTAATCTGGTCTCCCCAAATCCCCCCAAATCACACGAAATAGGACATGGATCCATTCTGAGCAACTTACCTGAACATGAGAAAACACTCACTGTAAGCACAAAAATTAAGATCCTCATAGTGTATCTATCAAAATCCTCTGGTCTTTTTGCTCTCTAAGCAGTGGTTTCCAGAACATGTTCTTGTCTTTATATAAACACAGCCTTGATACTACACCTGACCTTCCGGTGTCCAAACTCTGCTACAAACATTGCACTTTAAACAGAATTGATCTCGGAGTAAATATTTCCTGTCAGCTTTTTTCCATTTAGCAGTAGTTCTCCATTAAGACATGGACTGTAGTGCCTTCCTCTCCCGCCCCACCCCCAGCACTGTGACTAGAAGGAGGCACTGAATTTCTGATAACTCCATAGCCAAAGGCAGGACCCAATTATTTTTGTTCTCTTCTAGACATTTTTTCCTCCAATTTAAATCAGTCAATTCTTCTGTTACCACTTTTGTGTCCCTGCAGTGACTGAAAGCAGCTGCATGCCCATGACTCCTGAGCAGATGATTCCCCAAAATCAAATGGGAATTCTCCAACATGGACCCATCTACTACCACAACCCTATTGGACCATAGCATTGAATAGCAGCCTCTCAGATACAGGCACAGTGCAAACCCTTGGGACAGCCCAGAGCCCTGCAGGGTCCTGGAACTTCTGCTACTCGTCATGCACCAGACGACCAAGTCTGCACCAAGCTGACCAAAGAAGTCACTGGCTGTGGCCATTCAATACCTCCATTAGATTCCCTCTATAATGCTCAAGCCTTAGTGTCAGCAGAGTTAATAAGAGTTTTGAAAAAAAAAAAAAATCTGGCCTGATGTCATTACTGAAGCTCTTAAATGATTAGAGCCAGAAAGCTACTGGACAAAAGGAGCTATGACCATCCTCTCCATTGCTGCATGTGGAAAGCTGGTCTTGCTTTCCAGATGCCAGCAACATATATTTTACATGTACGACAGCAGAGCCTCTGAAATAGTTTTTGTAAGATTCAGAGAAATACATGCATTTTAGTGCTCATAGCTCTCCACAAGAGTCAGGAGAAAAGAGAGAGAAACTGCTCAAGATAGCTGCTTTCAAACAAGTTCACTCACTCCCGACTGTTCACAAAGCAGAGATATGTCTAAATCCACATTTGCTGGGAGATCCCAGCCATAAATTTCCTCCCTTAACCTTCAAATTGCAGCTCTTCTTGTAGCACGTGGAGCAAGATCACTGTCAGAGCTTCCCACACGACAAGTCCTCAAGGAAGCCAAGGAAGGATGTGGAGCATGCAAACTACAAGGCCAAAATTCAGTAAGAGCACAAAGCTGCTACTGGTTGTTAGCTCCTCGGGTAAAGCAAGCCATGGGCAACCTATCAGTATTCAGCAATAGCAATGCCATGCCTACTTGCCCATTCCTCACCGCTATACTCAAATACTGTTGTTAGAAGGAAGGCTAAAAATGCTCATCCATGACGGAAACCTCCAAGAATCTGCAACTGAAAGGGACATTTCATCCTTATTAAAACTAAGTTACATTCTGAGCAACATCAATAAACAAGCAACCTTCCTCCACTTCATCCTGCACTTTGCACTCCGGAAGTGGTAAAGGATGATGATGCAAAGCTAAGGCAAGCCAGGCCATCAGACCAGCCCCCCGTCCCCAGTGCGCCCCAGCAAGCAGCTCATGTGCCAGTTGGTAGCGCTCCATAGGAACATACTGTGACTCCACTTGGAACAAGGCAGGCCCAGGAAGACAAACAGACACGTGGCCAAGCAGGGAACGCGCCGGGACCACGGCACTGGCTCACAACGCACCACATGTGCTGTTCTCAGACACGTGCATGGCGTGTGCCTTCCAAAAAGGGGTGGGCATGTCTTGCGAGCCAACTCAAAAATGGTCAAAATGAAACTACTACTATTTAGGAGAAGGAATTTGGAATTCAGCATTGGGAATATGGGCCAAAACGCCACTTGAAACTTTTCCCAGAGGAAATCCAGAGCCTCTACTGCACTTTGTGCTCATGGCAGCTGTGGACAGTCTCTGCCTGCTCCTAGACATCCCCGTCTGTAGGAGGAGTGGCTGCTCTTCCTGCTACCCTGTTCTTGGCCTGTGCAGAAAAAGCTGGTTAGGAAGGCTGCTAGGCCCCAGGGAAGGCTGGTTAACTCTTACCCACTGCAGCCAGGGCAGAGCACCACAACACAGAGCTTTTAAACTGAAGACTCAAGAACAGAGTCTGGTGCATTACAGACAACTTTTCTGCAGCTCCAACTACAATGCCTCAGATCTATGAGGAACCCTTCAGATACACCATCTGACTTGCCACTTCAGCACTTTCTCTGCAATCAGCCATGCTGCTCCTGCAGTAAGGAAACAAGAGCAACGAAGACAGCTCTTAGCACGTGAATGCAGAAGAGTCTGCATTCAGATCTCCAAGGATTTTATTTCCCATCAACTTGCTACAGTACTTTGGACAACGTAAGCTTTTGTCTTCATCCCTAGAAAAGGGATCATTTCCCTCACCTATGATAAAAGCATTTAATGTTTTATTAGGACCTGAATATGCAAAACTACTTCCTAACTGCTAAGTAAAAGAATTATTAGCAGCCCCATAATAATTTTAACTAGGGACCAGATTGTACTTCTCTCACAGTAGCTACGAGGTGACGCTGCCAGCACGAATGTATTTCTTAGAAATAAAATTGTTTAATGAAATGAAAGGTCCTCTGCAGCGCTCTGGCTTGGCTTTGCTATGTCCAGAGAATGGAGATGTTCATTATTCCATCTCTCTAAATCTTGGCTCATTAAGCTTGTAATGAACTTGGTAAATATTTCTCCTGTGTCTCCACAGATACATTATACACTCCAGTAGATTCATGTTGTTACAACAAAATTGGCTTCATTCACTGTACATGTCAGCAGAGCGCTTGCGTGCAGGGCAGATAAGCGAGTGCTGACTACCCTCCGTGTCTGTGGGTACAGATGATAGACAGAGCTCTCCCTCCCCGGCCTGCCCGTTCAGTCTCACCAAGAGGAAGGGTAAGGAGGGAAGCAGATGGCTTCCGCCTCCTCCAAACCGTCTGCTTGCCACTAAAGGCTCCAGTGCAGGAATCCCTCTGCTGCAGGAGTAGGTCTGGCAAGTAAAAACAAAAAACAACAATAAAAAAATACACTGAACTTTGTTGTCTAAACTTCAGGGCTGGGTTTTGAGAAACGGGGAGACAGCAGAAGATCCAGCCAACCAAGGAGGAACAGGACTGATTGAGAAAGAAAAACAAACATGAACAAGCTCAGCTTATCTTCCAGCCAAGAGCTGGGCAGGACATCTTTTCAAAGGAAGACTGAAATGCTTTAGTACATATTGATTCTTGATGTGGTGAGGAAAGACAGGCAGGCAGACAGCAGCAGCAGGGAAG